AGTGGCCGGTGAATGTTTCCACAAGTTCCTTTGTCTTGATATCGTACACCTTTAGCTGTCGGGAGCCAATGGCCAGGGTGCCGCTTTTCTGGAGATAGACTATATTTTGGGGCTTCTCGGGTCCGACCTGCCACTCAGCAACGGAGCGCTCCTCCGTCAAGGACCAAACAACAACCCTGCAATCGGCACCCACGGTGTACAGGTGGCCAGCGTTGTCATATGTAATTGAGGTTACTGGTCCATCATGGCTGTCGCCACTAAGCGTTCGAGAAATCTGCAAGGATTGATAGTGGTTTATTTGTCTTTAGAACAAATTTGTCCGACTCACCTTTCCCTCGGCTAAGGAGTATATAACCACTGATCCCTTAAACGTTCCCAGGGCAATGTGAAGCTGGTCACCGGCCGCATCCTGTGCCTGGAGGCTCTTTCGCGACTTCTTGGGCCGGGGACCGGCCACCGAAACCCACGTGAGCGCTGTGCACGACCCGGATACCTGTAGATTGGGCGTAAACTCCTGATTTAGGGTGTTCGTCTCCGTGTTCCATATCCGTAGAACTCCCTGCTCGTCCACCGAGGCAAATAGTTGGCCACCATTGGGCGAAAATCCCAACACGTGCTTCTTGCCCAGCGACATGGTTTTTTATGTTTTGAATTAGAGATGTGCGCTAAGGCTAGTGTTTACCTCGCTCGACTCAACACATCACGCACGTAATGTATGTGAGTCACGCACGACTCACGATTGAAATACATGCATCTAGCGACGCTTCCTGTACCCTTGAAAGATAAAATCAAATTAAATAAATACCAAATTCAAAGAGTAAACGATTTCATTAATAGCTAAGAATTTATATTAGCCTCAAATTATACATGTATTAATTATATATCGTAGAGAAATTCGGATCGATTTTTAAAATTTACAAAATTTCCTCAAATCTAAAATACAAATTATTACTTGGATCTCAAATTACTTTTATACGTAGTATTTAGGGTTTATTGGCTTTTGAAGTAAAACGTGTTTAAAAATGGGGACGTCTACTCTACTGCTGAATTATGATATTTAATTGTTCGTTCATCGAAAACCATGTAAATAAAAAAATATTAAAAATAACACAGAGCCAGTCACCGTTAACAATAATCGATAGGCTAGTGTCATCCCTATCCCATCCAGAATGTTCGCGGCCACTTTGAGGTTATAACTCTAGCTGGAATTTACCGACTGACTCCGTGTGAAATTGAAATCTGTGTACAAAAATGGCTTTATCCGTTCCAAAGGCTCCCGGTGTGTCGCAGATGCTCAAGGATGGCGCCCGGGTGAGTGCAACAAGGAGAAATAGCTCTGCGAGAAGTCCGCCGGGCATCGGTTTCATTGAGATTCGACTGAAAATAAAACATGCCGTCTCTGGGAGGCGCGTGATTAGTCATCCTCATGGAACGGAGCTGGACATATAAGTGAAAAATGACTAATTTGATGGTTTTACTTCTGTCTGCAGATGTACAGTGGGCTGGAGGAGGCGGTGTTCCGCAACATCAGCGCCTGCAAGGAGTTTGCACAGACCATGCGCTCCGCCTATGGACCAAATGGCATGAACAAGATGATAATCAACCACATCGAGAAGCAGTTCGTGACCAGCGATGCCGGCACGATCATGCGGGAGCTGGATGTTGAGCATCCGGCTGCCAAACTGATCGTCATGGCCAGCCAGATGCAGGATGCCGAGGTGGGCGACGGTACCAACTTCGTGGTGGTGCTGGCCGGAGCCCTGTTGGAGTCCGCTGAGGAGTTGCTGCGCCTGGGCATCACCACTGCCGAGATCTCCGACGGCTATGAGAAGGCCTTGGAGAAGGCCCTGGAGATCCTGCCCACTCTGGTGAGCCACAAGATCGAGGACTATCGCAATGTGGAGAAGGTGAAGGAGGTACTTCGCACATCGATCATGTCGAAGCAGTACGGGCAGGAGGACTTCCTCAACGATCTGGTGAGCAAGGCCTGCGTCTCCATCTTGCCGGATGAGGGCACTTTCAACGTGGACAACATTCGCATCTGCAAAATCTTGGGCAGCGGACTCACCAAGTCTGAGGTGGTCCGCGGCATGGTCTTCAAGCGCTTTGTAGAAGGCGACGTGACCTACGCAGAGAAGGCTAAGATCGTGATTTTCTCCTGCCCCGTTGATATCATCCAAACGGAGACCAAGGGTACAGTGCTGATCAAGTCGGCCGACGAGCTGTTGAGTTTCTCCTCTGGCGAAGAGAGCCTGTTGGAGACCCAGATCAAGGCGATCGCCGACACAGGTGTGAAGGTGGTTGTGGCCGGCGGTAAGGTCGGCGACATGGCCCTGCACTTCCTCAACAAATACGGCCTGATGGCCGTGCGTCTCAACTCCAAATTCGACCTGCGACGCCTGAGCCGCTCCTTGAATGCCACTGTCCTGCCGCGCATCACCACGCCCAGTCAGGAGGAGTTGGGCTACTGCGACAAAGTTTGCATCGAGGAATTGGGAGACACCACAATTGTGGCCTTTAGGTGGGATTTTCAATGAAATTGGCCAGAAAAAAAGCATTATAATTTATTCTTGAATCATTAAAGGAACGAGGGCAAGGACTCGCGCATTGCCACCGTGGTTATCCGTGGAGCTACCGACAACTTCATGGATGATATTGAGCGTGCCCTGGACGACGCTGTTAACAACTTCAAGTGCCTGACCCGGGATGGACGCTATCTGCCCGGAGCTGGAGCCACCGAGATCGAATTGGCCACACAGCTGTCCGCCTATGCCGATACTCTGCCGGGACTAGACCAGTACGCCGTGCGCAAGTTCGCCAACGCACTGGAAGTTTTCCCCAAGGCTCTGGCCGAGAACTCCGGCATCAATGGCACGGATATCGTGAACCAGTTGTATTTGGCCCACAACTCCGAGGCCGGAAAGACCATCGGCTTTGACATTGAGGCTGAGAAGGCCAGCACCATCGACACAACAAAGGCGAAGATCTTTGATCTGTACCAGGCCAAGTTCTGGGGTCTTAAGTACGCCGTGGGCGCGGCCGCAACCATCTTAAAGGTGGACCAGATCATCATGGCCAAGCGCGCCGGAGGTCCCAAGCCGCGACAGGCTGCCGGTAGCGATGACGAGAGTTAAGCGGCTCCTCTGTGATTCGTTATCCTTACTCTAACTAGTTTCTCCCGCTCCCACAAAGAGTGCATTGTATTTTCATAAACAAGTCCCATGGAAATTATAAATTTCATTAATCACTCGCACACTCACCCACATACACAGCCATGCACACAGTTTCTTGTATTAATAAACTTAACTTACGAAAACTGAACTAACGCGTGATCATCCGGGGGAATTGGAAATGAAACAACATGGATTTTTCGCACCGAACCCGGTGCCACCGCTAGATAACGAATCTAAGTAAGTTATCGCTTTTTATTTTTGAAATTTAAGCAAACGATTATTCATTTTGTTGAGTACAATATTTCAAATGCTTATTCGCAGATACATTTCAGTAATATTTGTGAGGACTCGTCCCCGTTTGCATCGCAAAAGATTTGTATTAATTTTCGAATAAAATACGATCTCGTTGTCGCTCTTCATTTGAATTGAATAAAAGGTGTTAAAGTGTGTTCGATGACCATGATTGTGAGTACGTGTGCTTCAGATGCTTTTCTTTTCCAAATGCGGTCTACCCTCTATGGATAAGTTATACAAAATGAGACATCTGAGGACGGAGCCGAGCCATCCGTGCTCCATTGGATGGTCCGGCTGTCCTCGGGCAAATTTCGGGTGATAACTAAAAAGTCTCGATGCGAAGTGTCCGTTGAACCGAAAACTGCTCTATGCGGAATGTTTAAGCAGGAACTTGGACTCCCGGACCGACTGCAGTTTCGATTATTGGGGCCCCCAAAGCACCTATCGGATTGGCGGCTTTGGACCACATTTTGCTGTTTGCTCACGACAGCAAACTGGAGCTCAAAGCCTTTTACACAGCTTCCAAAAGAAAATGCCCTCTGCAAAAATGTGTGATTCTTAGTACTAAGTAAACGCTGTCTGAATTTTGCTACGTTAAGAACTAAATCACCGCCAATTCAAAACTTCTAGTTAAATGCAATTTTGGAAGAACCGATCAACTAAACTATACCTTCGTCATTCCCATCAACACTAAACTGGCGACTTGGACAGTCCGTCTCAGCGGGACGAGAATCTAATTTCAGAATGCAACATGTGTGTATGTACGACTGGGTGTGATGATATCATACGCGTGCTCACCATACAGGATAATCATAGCTTACATTCCAATACCGAACAAATGTGCCCTATGCCATGTTAGTTTGTACAAAAATAACTTGCTTGTGTTGTTACTGTTCTGTCATGCCAATAACATTTTAATTAATTGCGCTCAACATGTTTGTATGAATAAAATGGGTGCGGTATGACTTTTTTGAGGGGGAAGAATCACACATTCTTCTCGTCACTTTCGTTAAACTGGAAAAATTGGAGACAGTTTTCGAATTCTAAGGACTTCTGTGTTGTGTTGTTACGGAATGCAATAAATTATTGGTCTTGCGAAACTGTTTGCTTTCATTGAACTGGATATTGGCTTGCTACGCCGTAGTGAATTAAAATGGATAAACTACGCTATAGAGATAAATATTGGTTACATTTTCGAGTTCTTTGGTTTTATATGCTCTGGTCGCTTTACTGCAACGTTCGTTATATATTTTGACTAAGAAAAACTGGATAATAAACGCACTAAATATTGCGATAAGTTCAACTAGTTTGTTGTTGTGGGTAGCATTTCTGCTTCGTGTTAAAGCTTTTAAGTAATTCAATAAGATATTTGCGTACATTTGTTGTTAGTGGTGTCAATTCACCCGCTGGTGGTTAATATTTAAAAAGCTTCAAAATACATACATTTTCAATACAACTTGTCCTTCTTTCTCTCTTCTTTTCATTTTTCAACAAATACAACAGATATTTCTCGAAATAAGAAGGCAAAATATATGTATTTCCGTTTCGACTGAGTTTAAGTTTATTGATAAGTTGATAGTTTTGTATATATAAGTGTTTCGGTTTAGGTAGAGTAGTAGATGCTATAGTCAGCGCATTAATTGTCGTTATAGTTGGGATATTCGTGTACATTAACGGCGTTACTCATCGGGAAGGAAACAACTCTGATATCTTTGGAACAAATGCTTCAATTTAGATTTAGATATACATTTAGATTCGACATTGAGTTTGGGTTTCTGGTTTCGGACATTACTTGTTAACGTGGCTGGTACACATTGATATATCGATTTAAATACATATATATATATATATATTCCTCGCAATTGCAATTGGAATTCAAACTTCTTGTAATGATATTGCTTATGACAATCGTAGTTTTTGTGGCTTTTGCACAAGTATATATTGTTCCAGGTGGCGTTGACTGGTACTGGGGAAGTACTCCACACACGTTTGCGTCCTAATTTATCTTGCTAAACTAAAAATAAACTAAACGTCCGCCGGCGATCGCTGACTCCTCGGCAACGGCGGACCTTCCATTCCGCCTCCTTAGAGGACGGTGCACGATGACTTCTCGCGGAACGGATTCACCTTCTGGCTGGTGAACCCGGTGAGCAAGTAGTCCTCCTGCTCGTGCTCCGTGATGTACTTCATCATCTTGGCGCACGACTCCGAGATCGTCTGGCGGTCGATGGCTGCCTCGCGACGCAGCTGCTCCACCACGACGCGCTGCTGCTGCAGGGATGATGACATTACGTCCATGATGGCTGTCTCGGATAGGCCTATGGTTGAAAAGGTTCTCAGTGTTACGGATACTGGGAAATGCAATTACAGGATAGTGGATTTGGGGTGGTGTGCTTGGTTGCTAGTGCTTGTGTGGCTTCGCCGAAGGGCTTGGTCTTTGGCTTTGGCTTATCTTATCGTATGATTCTGGGTATACTGGATTGGATGGATCTTAATGGCTGGCTGGAAATAACAAGTTTGGTTATATGTAGTTTAGATATCTGATTCTTTGTTCAGGCTTTCCCATACGGGCACAACATCGAACAGGCGACACAAAGCTATATCTATACATTTTCGCGATTCTAGACAGAGATAGTTGGTAGAATGGTGTAGTTTAGTCAGTGTATAGTACTAGGCGGGAAGTTAGGATTGCTGGTGAGTCACTCTACGCATATGTGTTTTTTGTGGCACATGTGAACCCAGGCATTAGTTTCATCGATCGCATTGCTGATTAACTTTCCAGGCGAACTGGAAGCCTTGTCGCGAACAAGTGCAAGGTTATTTACTGGCTGAAGTGGGCGTGGTGGTGGTGGGCGTTGGGCGCTACTTGTGCCAGCACATGGGGAACCCGAGTTATGTACAAAAAACACTATCAATTAGTTGTAGAAACACCCAAAATTATTTTTTTATGTAGAAATAGTGGAGGAGAACACACACAAACACACGAAGGCGTACTGCTCCGAGTGGTTAGCATGGGGATTATAGTGGGAAAGTGAAGATTTCGACGGATGCACACACAACACATAAGTATATTGGCACACTATTTGTTAATTACCAGCTCCGGTTTATATGTTTTTTATTCTCGAACGCAACGGGCCAAAATCGAGCAAAGTTGACGAATAAAAGTGGATACACACCCAAACTAGTGATGTGCCTTGCAGCGATAGATAGCCGCGTGAGCGCGCCCGCGTGCCATCTCTAAAAATTGCGCAGAAAAACATAAAATTCGGCCCACTTTTCAGTTCCATGCTCTCTGCAAAATGATGGCCAAGGACAAGGGTCTGGCTGTAGCCGGATCGGCGGCCCCCTTGCCGGCCCCCATAGACCACGAGTGGTCCGCCGAGGAGGAGCTGCAGCTGTTCCACGCAATGGAGGGCCTGCGACCGGTGGGAATCAACAAGCACTTCTACATGTCCTGCATTGTCCAGCGTCTGTCCAAGTCGCTCAACCGTGAAATGCCCAGCGAGCTGATCTGGCGTCACCTGGGCACCATGTACAAGCTGAAAGAACTGGACGATCTGGAGGCGTTACCCTTTCCCAACGAGGAGCGCGAGTTTAGTCTGCCGGAGCAGGATTACGGAACGCTACAGACCAAAAAGACGGTGGAGGTGCATGGCAACGAAGAGACTGGAGAGGCACAGTCGGCACCTCCAACCACAGAGACCAATGGCAAAGGTAACTCGTGATTTATCATCAAGGTTCACCTCTAAGTATTGTCTTACAGCTCCACCCGCAACCAAAGTGCCGGTACCGGCAAATTCTGCCAAGGAAGGCGACAAGAAGCCCGCCTCCAAGCCCCAAGAACAGCTTCCCAAGCGACCGGCCAAGCGTACACGCGGCTCCATGTCCAATGAATCCATCAGTCCCTCCACCACGCCGCCGCCGGTGCAGAGCAACAAGCGCCGTCGCATATAGGCGGCCCCCACCCGAAATTGACGATTGTTGATCCGTTTTAGCTCACTAGTTTTACTGTACTCTAATAAAAGGATTTATTCTTCGAATTCGTTGTCCTCCTCGTTGGACCCGTTCCCGTTTTCCGGCGCAGGAACTTCGGTAGCCTGCATGTTTTCCAGCAGCGATTTGAGAAGGCGTCGGTTGAGGTGATCCGTCTGCGTCAGTTCCCGGACTGCCTGTGGCGGGGTATCGTTGTCTGCCGGCGCAGGGCTGTTCCCAGCTGAAGTCGGAGTCTCGGCCATGGCTTTGATGTGCTCCAAAACAGGCATTTTTCCCCAGAAAGATTTCAGTTTTTGCTATGACACACAGTGCACAGGGTGACTCATGCTTACCCGTGAGATGTGCTGTGCATTGCGATTGTTACGCTTTGAAACTTGGATAAGTGTAGGGTGCACTCGCTGAGGTATCGATATTTCGTTTTACGTCAGCCCTAGTTCCACCCCTAGTTCGATCGAGCTCCAATTGGACAGATTCTCCCGCTCGAATTTAATTAATTCAGCACATATAAACAAATTCTCTCCAAATGTTTGTGCCCGAAACGGAGGATATGCTGCCCAGATTAGCGCCCAGACCGAGTGCAGCCGTGCCCATGGGCCACACCAATGATATCATAGGGCCCACCGTGCCGGAGGTGTCCATATTGTTTGGCCAGCCGCCACAGGATCCGCAGATGCAGGCGCAGCAGCCACATCAGGAGTCATCTCCTCGTGCTGCACCCACCTTTGCGTCCTGGAAGAAGCAAATGCTGCCCAGGGTCAACTTTTCGCCAATTCTGGCCACGGAACTTGGACCACGCACCACTCCAAGCAGCAATAGCCCGTGCTCCTCAAAGGAATACCTGGTCATGTCCCGGGATCGCCACTACGCAAACGATGTGCAGCAGACTACCAATCATATGAACTGCAATACTGGGGGGTATAATGCTGAGCCCAAGCAACCGGTCTATCAATCTAGGCGCTTGTCCAGCTCGTCCAACGCTGATGTCCTCACCATCTGTGCTGGCACACAGACCGATCCCTTCAACCCATCTCCTCCGCGAAACTCACTGCCCCAGGTCGTCTACTCCGATATCGACGTCAGCAACCTGGCCAATAAAAGTGACCTGGCAGCTCTGGTATCCCTTGTGGAGTCCATGCGCCATGAGCAGCAACAGCTTAGGAATCTCTGCGAGACGCTTTTGGAGCAACAGCAGCGAGCGACACCCGAAGGCATCTCAAAAGCCAGCAGAACCACTGCCAGCCAGTGCGATATTTTGACTACCAATAATGGTGGGTAAATCGAAAGAGTATGCAAAGAATCCGATACAACATCCTCCTTAGCAGGTAGACGCTTATCACCGATTATGCAGGATTACATAGCAGAGGAGGCGGATCCAGTGCCATCGCCACAAGCTCGAGTGATTCCGCAATTTCCGTCTCCCCGACCAAATCCACCAATGGCCCAATCTACGGGTTATCGTGCCAATACGCCTCAGGCCAAGCGAATCCCTCAACTGGCCAAGCCAAACACCGAAAAGAGCCTGGTGATGAACGAGCTGGCGCTGAAGTACTTGCGCCAACCCGTGGATGAGCTGATGAAGGATATGCGCTTGGGGTCCTCGCCCAAGTCCCCCAATCCTGAGCCCCTGCGTCAGATCGACAACATCGGCCACTCGCAGAGCCCCAACGACATTTCCAATGCATCGTACAAGTATCTCAAAAAATACCGCCTGCTGCCCGAGGAGCAACTGGGGCAGGTGACTCCCCAATCCCCCATGGCGGCGACTGCCTCCTCGCCACATATTCAACTGGATTTGGAGAACATCAGGAACCAGCCGAAGCTGTTGTGAAAGCATGTCTAATGTTAGGTTTTGTTATTTATGCATATGTCTATTTGCGATTTAAGTGGAAATATATTTCAATACACGGAATAACGTTGACACTCATCTGGTAATCCCAGCCTACACTTTGTATACAAAACACAAAAGACATTGATATCTGAAGACACAATAAGAATATACGCTTAGTGAGCTTGGCTACGATCCGGCGACGGGGCTCTAGCGCAGAACCAACTGCAGCTCGGATGCGGATTGCAGGAGGACCTTCAGACCCTGCATAAAGCCCGCGCACTGCGCAAAGTCCGTTCCGAAGGCAATTCGCGTGTGGATTTCCAGTGCATTGGCGTAGTCGGATATTTGAATGTACTGTACTATTTGATTCAGATATTGCACCGTCGTGGGAGTAAGCTGGAATAAGGGTAAGTCACATTAGCGAATGCAATTGAATCGATATAAAGCAAAAGCCCACCTTTCCATCTCTTAGGCAGTCGTAGAGATTTTCGAGCCTCTTTACAACATCGACAAACTTCCGTTTTGTGCGCTTCAAATGAAAGCCAATTTGAAATAAAAATATGGTATATGGATCGTTTATTTATTGACTCACCGGATCATTGGTTGCGCCCAGACAGCGGTTCTTCAGCTCCTCCAGCACTGTCTGCAAATATATGTACTCCTCGGGAAGTGGGGGTTTCTCCTTGGGAGGCTCCGGTTGGCGCTGTTGCTGGATGGGGGCTGGCTGCTCAGTATAGCCAATGGTTTGCTGCTGTCCCTGCCAGTTCTGCTGCTGGAGTCCTCCGTGATTCGGAATCCCAGAGGGTGGCTGCTGAGGCTGGAGATATGATTGCTGATGCTGCTGCTGGGGATTGTTGTTGAATTGAGCCGGGTTGTAGTACGTATTGGGCACTCCTCCAGGTGGTGGTGCGTGCTGCTAAAAGTAAAGACATTTTTAATGTACTTAATGTCTCTACCAAAAATAGGCTTTCTAGTCCTACCTGATATTGAGAGGGGTCCACATAACCGTTCTGGTTTTGATTCGGGTCGACTGGGAACAGGGGATGAAAGATTGCAGCACTTGGTTCAACGACCGGCTTCGGTTTAGGCTGATTAAGAAGTAAACACTTGAGATAACGCCTTTGAAATTTCTAATGGCAAGTACTTACCGCTCGCGAAGATTTCAGTGCAGGAGGATCGTTCCAGCCGGGTGGTGGTGTGGGATTGCGTTGTACATTCTGGATGATCGGTGGCGCAGCTGGCGGTGGCATTGTCTCAATGGGATTTACACCGGGCAGGAACTGATTCGGCTGAGCTGCCATGAACGACGAAGGGTTGTAAGGTTGGGCAGCCGCAATCGGATTCGTGTTGAATTCCTTGCTGTTGTAGGTTGGCACGCTGGCCGGCTGGGGTACGGGACCAGACACTCCTCCGCTGCCAAATGGAACCGCTGATGGAACGGGGGCCGGCACAGGATTGTATGGCATGCCGTAGGAACTGGTTGGAGCTGCTACGGATGGATCTAAAACGTATTTGGAGCGGCTAGACAGACCCGATCCGGCGGACGATGATGCCCCTCCTGCTGGCGGGAGACCACCTGAAGAGCTGGCGTTGCTGAGTGGGCGCGGTGGTTGGGCCAAAGGCTCTGGTTTCACAGGCTGCGGATTAAATATCTGCGGCGGAGGTTGAGGCTGCTGGGCTCCTGGGTATGTTGTTTGTAATGGAGGCACTTGCGTTGGCCAGCTGGGCTGTGCATACTGATTGGGCGGCTGGCCATAGGGCATGGGCACCGAAGGCTGCGGCTGCGAGAAAGATCCCCGATTGCGCTGCTGTTGGTAGCCAAGGGGAGCGGCAGCGACTGGCGCTGGCTGGGAGTAGTCCAGGTTGACAGCGTTATTTATCCGGTCTCGCAGGCTTTGCAGAACGTCGCTTTCGCTAGCAGCTCCTCCACCCAAGGTGGTAATGTACTGCAGGGCTGCAGTAAGAGCACCCTGGGACGCAAGAAGACCGCCGTACTCAGTCAGAAAGCCGGCAAAGCGACCAGCCAAGTCCACGGCTACGCCTTGCTGCTCTAACGACTTGCACATCAGCATCACCATCTCAGCCAAGTCCTGCAGCTCTGCGGTGTTGGGCTTGTAGCCGGGGTTCTGCTGCTCCAGCCGCTTCAACTGGTACCAGGCGGTGACAAGTTTGTCGATGCTGCCGGCGCAAATGTAGCAGAGCATAGCATTGCGCGTAAACTCGGCGCTTGAAGCGCACTCACTCAAGAGGCGATCGCCCAGTCGCTCGCAGATGTCCACCACCTTGCGCTCGCTGTGCTTGAGGGCGGCCACCAGGGCTTCCTTCCACGAGTCTACAGTACATCTGTTGACAAAGTCCAGCCAGTCACGGGATACCAATGCGGAGATCACGTGCGACAGTTCGTTCTTCTGCTGCAGCAGGTATCGTGTTTGAGTGCGGGTTAGAGTCTCAATGCCAGCAGTTGAGGCGATAATCAGCGCTTCGGGAATGCGCTGGGCTTCCAGACAGAGCTCCACGGCAGCGTCCACATTGCCTGTGAGTATTGCCTCGGCAATCAGGCTATCGGAGTCTGCAAAGTATACAAATATGCGATCATTTAACAAATGGTTACTAGGCAAGGTACAACTGCTTCGCTCAAAAGAAAAGCTTTTAGGATATTAATGTTTAGATAAAAAGTTATCAATATAAGTTAACATATACAGTATGTATTACCAAAGACACTACAATAATAAGATGCCACTTTTTTGGTGGCGGCAGTAATTGCTCTCTTCCCCACTCGCATAAAAATCAAAAAATTGAATTCACTTGCTTGTGTGAGTGAAAACAGTAAACAAAAAAGATGTGCTAGAATACGATTTTCGGTCCGAAGAAGGTCTAAGAACGAATTTGATTAATGTTTTGGTCAATTTCGTTGTAATATAAGCTAAATATTATTTAAAAATTGATGGCGTGACTATTTTTTTTTTTTTAGAAGTTGTTTTAATATTCTTTACTTAAAATTGCCGCTCGATTTAGCTACCGTTTACATATAAATATTTTTATTATTAATTATCTGTAATATATGTATTTTTTGGTACCCAGGGAACACCACGGGGAGGACATTACAATTGTAATGGGGTCGTATATTAATATGACCTTCGAGTCGACTTGAAATAATAAATGTTAAACATAAAACATTTCCATGTTCCCCAACTAAGCTAGTTTTCTAACTATTGCTTTTCGATATAATTTGCTCCTTTTATTAATTCATTTTATTAAATTTTTGTACTATATATATATATACATATATATATGTATATATTTATTTTTAGTCATCACTAATTTTTCATATTTGAGATGGAATGCTGAGTTTTGCTTGCTTTTTTGTTTATCAGCTGTCATTTCGATATTTTTCGATTGCCAGAGTACAAATAATATAGATTTTTGTTTAGGATCATATTTTCTTGTAGCCCTATAATTCCCAACTAGTTCTAGTGAAGACAGTAAGGCATGTCTTCTAATTTAGAGTCGCAAAATAGTGCAAGTAATCTCTCTTACCCGTCGAGCAGTGAGTGTAGTGTATGTACCGGTGTATGTATGTATGTATGTATGTATGTATGTATATACGTATGTATGTACATGTATGTATATACGTATGTATGCATGTATATATGCATATATGTGTGTATGTATGTATGCATATATGTATGTATGTATGTATGTATGTATATACGTATGTATGTATGTATGTATGTATGTATGTATGTATGCATGTTTGTATGTATGTATGTATGTATGTATGTATGTATGTATGTATGTATGTATGTATGTAGTGTATGTGTTACTTGCACAAAGTAGTAAAAATTGTCTTAAGTAAAGCCTGAAGAATGTTTAACTTACTGTCGGAACACATAGTTATTGCCGCTTTTAAAGAAAAGAAATTGATTACCCTACACTGAAAGGGATATATATTTTTATGTAAAAATTGTCATAAATAAAGCCTATAAAATGCCCGAAACGAATTTGAAACGCATTGGCACAATGGTAACGTATGAATCAAAATCTGTCCTGTTTTTTTCATCCTTTTTTGAAATTTTCAGCCTATTTTTTCCGTTTTTTTTCTCAATATGTTCTTTTTTTTCTCTTGTACAAGAGTGCTGCTGGCTCTAGAGCGCTCTCTCTCTCTCTGGCTCTTGAACAAAAATTCGAGAAAGCCTGGATCCAGCTCTAGAGCCAGCCCGAAAAAATCGTGTACAAAAAAATCGTATGGCGTTACGCATCTTATTATTCTAGTGTCTTTGGTATTACTTACGATCTCCGCTGGGAACCTTGAATTGCGGCCTCGGAGGAGTGGCAAAGTCGTTGTGATTTTGTGAGTCGACTGCATTTCCATCAAACTTGTTATCTTGCGTCTGCTGGGTGAGATAAAAAATTGTATAAGAATACACCTTAAATTGTTCCCAGAAAAGCTGCCATGAATACGTTGGCTTTGATTAAGAGCCTTGCATGTAAGCTCTTACCGAATTATCGGTGCTATAGTTTGTACTCTGATCACACTCAACCTCAGAAGAGTCGCTCTACGGCATGGCATAGCATGAGTTATATTATCGAATAGAAATATACAGATCGAGATGAACATACGTGGAAGATTGAAAGTGTACGCAATGCGGCTTGTTTTTCTGTTTTGGCTGATAAGGCATGCTCTAGCGAGTACTTACATGGGTCAGTGTCGAAATGCGGGTCGTCAGAGTATCCACATCCGAATGCGAGTTCCCATCGCTTTCCTTGATAAACTTGTTGAACTTGCTATCGATGTCGTCTTTGTTGTAGCCTTAAAAATAACTCAAAATTTTAACATATGTTGCCGAGTACGCATTTAGTGGACCTACCCAAGAGGTTCAGCATTTCCTCCTTAGGATTAAGCTCGAAGTTGGCCTTGATAAAGTACCAGATGTAACGTCCATGCTGATCAGGTGTCTCGTCAGCCCGCTGCCGACAGTAATCCGAATAGTTAGCATCGACCAGAGAGCGTTCCAAGGCATTGGCCCGGTCCACAAGTGCAGATTCGGTGGTTAGCTGTTGGACCTTGATGGTTTTCGA